CGCCAACACCGTGGGCAGGAGTCCCTGTTCAGGCGCCAGGTGTTGCAGGTTCTCCTCAGGCCAGCTGTGAAGACCGTAACCTGTATCGGGTCCCCTGCCGATTAGGGGGGCAAGAGGCATGGAGTCACAACACACAGAGCCCAGAGTCGGGTAGAAGCAAGCACTAGGAGAGGTGCTGCAGGCTCGCTTAATGCAGGAGGGGGCAGGCCTTATATTTCCCTTTTCTCCTTCCCCAAGTCCCTTTAGTCAGCATATTGTTTTCTGATTGGTCTGCGTCATGCAGTCTGTCAGCAGTCACTGGGCAAGCGAGCAGGGTACGGAAGTGTGGGCTCCTTTCTGCGGGCTATTTGTGGACCAAAAAGTGAAGTGAATTCTCGCGGAATCCCAGGGCTCTGGGTCCGCACCATCTTTGGAGGCCTCCTGCTACAAGGTCCTCTGTAAAGCAGTCTGCATTCTTAACTGCTGGAAAATTGATTTATGTTAGATGTCTGTAACAGAAAGCTCTTTATACAATTCCCAAGTATATTTGGTAAATAGTAACACACTAACCCATAGACTAAAGGGAGACAGTAGGAAAACACAACATTGAATTCGTGCAGTGCTGTGAAACAATACTTGAAATTTTGTAGCTAAATCAATACATGTATTAGAAAAAATGGAATGTCAGGACACAAATGACAGTAACTTCCTTTTTAAGAAACAAGAAGCAGAGCAAGTTAACTCAAGCAAGAGCGAGGAGCCTGGGAAAGACTAGAGCAGAAGTCACTGAAACCAAAATACAGCATTGAAATCAAGAAGTCAAAAGCTGGGTCTTTGAAAACATTAACAATATCATAAACCTTAGCCAGACAAATCAGGAGATAAAGAAAGATGACACAAATTACCAGTATTGAAACTGACAGAGGTAACATCCTTCATGGTCAAAAGACATTAAAAGGATAGAATACATAATAAACAAGTTCATGTCAGTCAATTTAACAACTTAGATGAAATGGACAGGTTCCTAGAGAGACACAGAGCCCACTCAAGAAGAAATAGATCACATGAATAGCCTAATATCTGTTAAAGAATTTAAATTTGTGAGGTGAAGAGCATAGTTCAATGGTAGAACACTTGCTTCACATGGAGGAGGCCCTGGATTTGATTTGCAGGCACCATATGAAGAGTTTTCTAAACAGCCCTCCTATGCTGGTTCATTTTTATTATTAACGCAGCCTAGAGTCACCAGGGAAGAGGGAACCTCAACTTGGCCTGTGGTCATGTCTTAAGACATTGTCTTGATGATTAATATGGGAGGGCCCATCCCATTGTGGGCAGCACCACCCATAGGAAGATGGGTGTAGGCTGTATAAAAAAGCCAGCTGTGTGGGTGTGGTGGTACCCACCTTTAGTCCCAGCACTCAGGAGCAGGTGGCAGGCATATCTCTGTGAGATTGAGGCCAGCCTGGTCTACATAGCAAGTTCCAGGCCAGCTGAGACTACAGCTGAGAAGGAGCCATTCCCCCATAGTTTCTGCTCCAGTTCCTGTCAAGTTCCTTCCTTGCCTTCCCTTTAATGACAGACTGTGACCTGGAAGTATGTGCTGGTTAGTTTTTGTCAGCTTGACACAAACTAGAAACACCCGGTAAGAGGGAACCGCAATTGGAGAAATTTCCTCCATCAGATTGGCCTGTGGACCTGTCTGTAGGGCATTTTCTTGATTGCTGGTTGATGTAGGATGGCCCAGCCCACTGTGGGTGGTGCCATCCCTGGGCAGGTGGGTCTGGGCTGTAGATGGAAGGTAGCTGAGCAAGCCGGAGGCAGCAAGCCAGTGAGCAGCGTTCCTCCCTGGTTTCTGTCTCAGTTACTGCCTCCAGGTTCCTGCCTTCTCTTCCCTCAGTGGTGGGCTATGGTGTGGAAGTATAAACCAAATATACCGTTTCCTCCCTCAGCTGCTTTTGGTCAGAGTCTTTTATCATAGCAGCAGAGAAGCAAATTAGAACAGAAATTAGTGCCAGAAAGTAGGATATTGCTGAAAGATCTGACCATGTTGTTTTGTGGGAGGATTGTGTGATCTTTGGGCTGGAAAAGCCATTGAGTGCTCAGAGACCAATGAGCTGTTATGAGAATTTGGAAGATAATGCTGAAAGCCAAGTAGATGGTGGAGGCCTGGCTTGTGATGTTCAGAAGGAAGCAAAGACTCTGTCAGGGCTGTTTCTGTGTTGTTTTGAATTAAGAATATGTTGTTTCTCATCAAATGGGGCTGAAGAACCAGCCATGATTAATAAGAGACTAACACCACTGAAGTGAAACCTTTTCTTTATGCAAACAATAAATGCTGGTATTCTGGGGCTGAAGAATCTTCTGTGATCAATAAAAGACCAGTACAGCATCACTGAGGCGAAATTTTCTGACAAGTATTTCCTCAGGGTCAGCACACAAAAGCTGTGGGCCAGAGGGGGCCAAGGCAGCATCTCAAGCTGGAAGCCAAGCTTGGCAACCTGTAAGAGTCTGGCACTGGTTTTGAAGGCATACAGGGGTTATGGGAAACAGTTGAGGCCTGGCCTTGTGAGATGCCAGGAGAGGCCATTGGTAAAGGTGCAGTCTCAGTTGAGGTGGAGGCCCCAGCATATTGGAGATGCCAGAACCTTGGGATGACCACCAAGGATAGCAGCAAGACTTGGAGCCCAGAAGATCCTGAGCACATCCCAGATACTGGACATTGAGTGACATTGCTGAACTTTGGTTTTGCATACATATGCCTGGTTCTTTGCTTCTGAAATATGAAAGTATATAACCTGTTTTGATTCTATGGGAGTTCACAGTTAAGAGGCTTTGGATTTTTAAGGAGAACTTGGACTTTTAAATTGTTGGAATTTTTAAAGACAGTGGAATTTTAAGGTTGTACTGTATTTTATATTAACGTAAGAGCTTGGGAATAAACAAGGAAGGAAAGGTTATGGTTTAATAATGATGTGTTTGTATGTCAGGTTGGCAAGGGGTCAGTTGTGCTGGTTCTTTATTTCTGTTTTGTTTTGTTTTTTTTTTTCTTCTTTGTCAACTTGCATGAACTAAAAACACCTGGGAAGACAGAACCTCAGTGAAGGAACGTCCTCCATCAGATTGCCTCTGGACATGTCTGTGGGGCATTCTCATGATTTCTGGTTGATGTAGACCAGCTCAGCCCACTGCGGGCAGTGCCATCCCTGGGTAGGTGGGCTTGGACCAGAGGAAGTGAAGCAGCAGGCAGCCCTCTTCCATGGTTTCTGCTTCAAGATCCTGCTCTGACTGCCCTCAGTGCTGGGCCTTAGCCTGTAACACCGGAATTGTAGGAAAATGTGAAGGAAGTTCAGCATTGGTCAGTATATTGAGGAAGTATGCTGTAAGTGCTGCAGTGGCCAGTGATCTCAAAGACATAGATGGAATGACTATCTCAGAAAGAGGACAGTTCCTGCCTCCAGGTTCCTGCCATGAGTTCCTGCCTCAGCTTCCCTCAGTGTTGGATTGTGACCTGGGGATTGTAAGATGAAATAAGCCTTTTCTGGGCTGGAGAGATGGCTCAGCAGCTAAGAACACAGATTGTTCTTGCAAAAGACCCAGGTTCAAATCCCCGCACCCACATGGCGGCTAACAATTGTCCATAACTCCAGTTCCAGGGGATCCAACAGCCTCGTCTGTCCTCTGTGGGCACTGCACGACATGGGTGCACTTACCTACACGCAGGCAATACACGCATGCACATAAAAATAATAAATAAAAATTAAAAAAAGAAGTCCTTTTCTCCCCAAGTTGCTTTGATCATCCTAATGAGGCAGTTAACTCCAAAGTCTGGGGTCGCCCCAGCTCCACAAATTTTCAAGAGAAGTTGTCTTCATCATTGTCTTGTGCCCAGGGTCAGTGAAGTAAACTTTTAAAATGTCTAATAGCATTTGCACGTCTGAGGCCTTGAGCCCGTTGTTCTAATCTGTCCAGATAGTGTTAGTAGTGAGATTTATGGTGAATATCTGCTTTCCCTCCGGGAACCTGGAGTCAGGTTCAGTCAGGTCAGCCCCACAGATGCCATATGGTGATATATGTAATTCCCAGTAAAATTCTTGGCTACACGATTAACACAGAGACCCTCTAACTGGTCAGTGTGCAGAGACTAAGAGACTGCGGTGTGTTCGACCCAAAATGGGACACCTGTATTGCACCCTCTCCTCCCAAGGCTCAGGGATCATTAAAGAATGGGGAGTGGAAAGATGTAAGAACCAGAGGTGGTGGATGAATACAAGGAAACTGTTGTCCCTTCAACACAGTAGTTCACATATGAACCCACAGCACTCATGACAGCATGCACAAGACCTGTGCAAACCCAAGCCAGACGGGCCCAGCATGGATGGGGTAATAGGCAGGAAGGCCCAACCCTAGCTGAGGGTCTGTTGGTAATCGATAGCTGCTGAGAGGAAGAGTCAGTTTTCCTTACTGGTGTGATGCCTGATAGGTTGACCAAAATCCAAGATGTAGACCCATACCCAAAAGCATTTAGGAAACAGATTAGACTCAATAGACCTTAAAAAAAAGACAAATAATAATAGATACATGAAGTTGGGGTGAGGATTAGTAATGTGGGGGTGGAGAGGGAGAGGGAGTCTGAATAGGACCAAAATTTCGTTGTATGACATTCTCAAATCAGTAAACATATACATTAAAAAAAAAAATTCTGGCACCTGGCTCCCTTGGCTGATAGCACTTCAAATAGGCTACATGCATGTTTCCTGGGGAATCGGCTGTCTGCTGTGTGACTGCACGGGGTGGGAACACTGTGAAGCTTGTAGTTTCCTCTTGACTGTCTCCTGTGCTTTCTTGTTTCCTTTGCTGATTGTATTTTGCATCCTTGTACTGTAATAAGCTACAATCATGGGTTGAACAACTTTTGAGTCCTAGAAAATCATTGACCCAGGGGCAGGGATCTCTTAGAGACTTGGGAGTCATCTAAAAAAGCACCTGCATCTAATATTAACTTTATTTTTTTGTGACAGGATCTGGCTATGTAGCCCAGGTGGCCCCAAACTGATCATCCTACCTCCAGTCTCCTGACTGCTGGAATTACCAGAATGCACTGCAAGCCTGGCTCCTGATACTAAACACTTCTCCCTAAGATCAGAAGAGGGGCAGCGACGCCCATTCCTTATTCAGTACTGCATTAGAAGTTTTAAGACAAGAACAAGAAATAACAGACATTTAGATTTTAGAAGTCAAACTGCCTTTATTCAAGTGATGTTCTAGTTTGCTTTCTGTTGCTATAATAAACACCATGACCAAAAACAACTCGGGAAGAAAGGGTGTATTTCATCTTACAGGCTACAGTCCATCACTGAAGGAAACCAAGGCAGGAACTGGGGCAGAGAGCATGGAAGAACACTGCTTACTGGCTTGCTTCCCCTGCTTGCTCAGCTGCCTTTCAGAATACAGCCCTGACCCCCAGGGATGGCACTGCCCATCGTGTGCTGGAACATCCTACATCAATTAGGAAATTAGAAAATGCCCCACAGGTATGGGCACAGGAAATTATTCAGTTGAGATCCCTCTTCCTGGGTGTATCAGGTTGACCACTAAAGCTATGACAAAAGACATGATGAGTATCTAGAAAATCATGGTGTCTCCTAAAAGTTCTTAGAATAAATAAGTGAAGTTTGTGAGGTTACTGGATAAAGGGTCAGTATACAAAACTCAGTTATCTATACATACTGGCTGGCAGCCTAAAAATCAGAAACTGGCTTTTAAAATGTGATTTCATTTATAATATTATAGATCATGAAAAACGTGGGTGTGAACCTGCATAGGGCATGGGATTTACATAGTGAACATAAAGCATTCCTGAAAGTAGTTAAAGAACCTAGTCAGGTAGGTCCAGAGATAAAGCTCATTCATGGTTGGGACACTCAGTGTTGCTGAGTGTCTGTCTGAGCTAGACTGACAGAGTCAGTGGAACCCCAGGGGAAATTAGGAGGACCCAGAATAGCCCAACACAATTTAAAAAAGGAAGACAGTGTTTGGAGAGTGAACACTACCTGATGTCAAGAATCCAGGATGAACCACAATAACCAGAGCAGAGTAGTATTGGCATCAAGGTAAGAAAGTCACTTCAAGGGGCTGGAGAGAGGCTCAGCAGTTAGGAGCACTGGCATCTCTTACAGAGGACCCGGGTTTGGTTCCTAGCACCTTTCCTTCCTTCCTTCCTTCCTTCCTTCCTTCCTTCCTTCCTTCCTTCCTTCCTTTCTCTCTTTCTCTCTCTCTTTCATTTATTTATTT